CAGTAATTGAAAAGTATAGCCGTATAGGCGTAGATTTGATGGATGAAGGCTTTGCAGATTTGTTTTTGGGTCATGGTTCTGTGAAAGAAGACGATGGCGGCGGTGGTGAGGATTCGTAACCGCTGGTGGGTAGATGAGTTTTTTCTAGAGTGGTGAAATCAGATTTGTTATTTGTGGTTGTGGTGGGAAGGGAAAGGAAAGGTTAAAAATAAACCTCGACTCCCAAATTACCAATTTCTCTCTTATCCTTTTGGTGAAAAATAAATTTCCTTCCGCCTGAAAATTTTCCCTCCAAGTGTATTAAGTGAGTAAATACAAAAATTATGTTTGGAAATAAATTTAGTCACATTATTGGCAACATTCTTGTCAAAATGAAATCATTTTCTTATATGCCTTGATTGATGAAATCATTGTCTTAAATTACTTTATTAGCTATATAAAATGACTAAAGAAACCATACATCTAGTAAATATTTACAATGAAGTTAGTTAATGAATTATATAACATATTTACAAATATGTATAATAACTATTCTTACTCACATTGCAAGTTATATATAAGAGCATTGTTTGATTATTGCCATGTCATTAATCACTATCATCATTTCATTGTTGTTTGTCAATGTTCACTAGATGAATCATTATTTTATTCTTGATAAATACACGGTCCTTGTAGTACTAGTTAGTATGAATTAATACTCATTCATGAATGGTTAATATAAACAATAAAAAATTACAGTCTTTTATCATAGATAATATTATTTCCTAAATTTTAATGTTAAGAATAGAACTTCCGTTTTAGAATGAACAAATAATCATAAATTCACACTATGATTTCTTACATATTGTCATATACTTATAGTACAGATCATTTAATAGAGTATATATCTGTATAAATACTTACATCATATAAAGTCGTAAGAGTTTGTTACACTTAATCACAATGTATTAAGTACTAGTAACAATATTATTAATTCTTAGTTGGTTATATTAAGATACTGATTATAAATTGAATTATAAATTTTATTTACACACTTTCTATTCCGAAATGAATTGTTCAATTTGAATTATCACTTATAGTATAATTTGTACTAAATTTTAAAATCAAAACTATACAATTAATTACTTTGAAATCGAGAGAATACATCAATGTTACATTTAATTACTAAGCAAAATGTACTTGTTCACAAAAGTTTAAAATATTTATGGGCAAAAACCTAAGTTTTAAGGTGTCATACTAGGATTTTTAAAATCTTAGGGAAGCTAGTAACAAAGTAACAAGCCATATATGAGTAAATGAATAAGTTTAAGGTGTCACAATAGAATTTCTAAAATTTAAAAATAGTCATGTAAAAAGAACAAAAATTAAACAAAATTACCATAACATATAAGATGCTTTTAAGCGTCCCATATAGTTATTATTGGGACACTTCAATGCGTCCCACTGTGTATTGGGATGCTTTAGTTTTGAGACACATAAAAACGTCTCATTAATATAATCTAATAAGACACTATCATGCAAGTGTCACAATATAATTTATTGAAACATTTTAACTGAAAGTGTCCCAACAAGAGTGTCACATTAGGGAGTGTTTTGTTGTAGTGTTGACACACATGCATCCACCTTATAACAAAGAGACCATGACCAAATTCTATGTAGTCGACAAGAAATCTTGTACAAAAAGTGAATTTTATTAGATGCTGACACAGAAAAGCAAATAGTTCAGAGCACTAATCATGTGATCACACACCTTCTGCTCAAACCACCCTTCTTAAGATGTGCATAAACTAATAAATGGCATTTTATTAGCTTATTTGAAATCTAGTATTTACCCACACGTTGTGCGTGTTGTATCAGTTTTTTGAACTTAAATTTAGGGAGTTCATAAATTACTTATACGGGAATGTACATATTGTGAATAAATCAAAATTCAAATTTACAGTACAGAACAAACGAAGACTTGTAATGAAGAAACTTACAAATGAACCTCCAACCAAAATAAAATCAATAAATAAGATAAAATCGAAGAAAAAATTAAATGGCTCCTGATGTACGTCAGTATATTGATGGTGCGCGCTACTTCTTTTTCTTTTTTCTTTTTTTTTTTCAGCACAACAACATGAAAATTAATAACACGGAAAGGCTTAGCGTTGCAAGAAGATTTCCATTACCAAATTATAACAACGGTTGCTCAACTAAAAATGGTATATGAAGCTTATTTCCTAATACTCTACTAACTTGTTAGAATAGAGATATTGTATATGAGTCTAAGATGGTTAACTTTTCTCCAAGGTTGAGATCAACTCTGTATCTTCATTTTTACTTACTCTTTATTTGATAGCATTTTTTCACCACATGTAAAACCGCATTGTACATAAATGGGTTGATATGCATATTAAGAATGTATATCTCACTTTTGGCATACCGATCATTGTTGCATATAATAATTCCTTTGGTGGAGTATCCATTTTATCAACTTTTTTAGTAAGAAAAATGGCTTCATGATCAGAATTGCCGATTGGGGGGACGAAACTCAAAGGTTCACATCCAATGAATTAGTTGTTTTTTTTTTCTTCGATTCATCTACAATACAAATAATTAGTAAATCACCGGTTGTGGTCGACTTGGAAAGACCGACAAAGAAACATTATATATAGCTAAGGAGGCAATGTTTAGTCAACCGCGTTGTTCCGAGACGCTTGACTTGGAGATCCATTTTATCAAATTCGTCTTGAGTTTTTCTATCCCTCTTGGAGATCCATTTCATCTTTAGTGGTATTATATTTAGTTTACCGGATGAAAGTAGAGCCTTTAGTCATGTTGATTGGTTACTGTTATCCTTGGCAAGTTCAGAATCATTTAAACCTTTCTCCTATCAAATAACATAGTTTATCACATTGTTCAGTTCTACCGTCCAATCATACCCTGAATTGTGTCGCTTGAAGATTCTATGGACTTCTTCAACTTATAACCTAATGCGTGACACTCTATAATTTCATTGGAATAGATATATGTCGGGTTAGATTAAGGTTGTGTTGTCAGCTGACTGCTTGGGTAATATTGTCTAGTAACCCTTATTCCTAAAATTTTAGTACTACTATTATTATTATTACTAGTGTGTGTCCCGCGCTTTGCGCGGGTTTGTCAACGTTAAAAATTTATCTTTCAAAAGAATTAATTAGATAATGTAGTTACAAATATACCGTCCTAATTCTCTTTAAAAAAAATATAGTTACAATTTCTTAAAACTGTAATATTTTTTTGATTAATCAATTTTAGATCAAAATGAGAGGTATTGATATTATTTATGAGAGGTATATTTGTAAGATCTCGACAAAATATTACAACAAAGATTTTCAAAAGTTGTATAGTAAAAATTGTCGCCACTAACTAATATTATGTTTGGATTAAAAAATATATTTAAAAAATGTGTAAATTATGTCTAGATGCCTATGGCCTATTTATAGGCAAGGGGACTTTGGGGGATTAGATGTAGTTCTAATAAAATATAAGACACAATTAATCGTCCTTGAAAATGTAAAATCGATAAACTTGAAGACTAAATAGCATACAAATGGAACTTTAAGGGCCAAAATGATAATATGTTGAAAGTTTAAACTCGTAAATGAAAGGACTTATGAAGTCGGGAGTTTCTCAGTAATTTTTGAAAATATTCATTTTCGAGCCCACAATTAGGAATTTGTAATATCTGTAAAAATCTTATATAGTAAATAATTTATTAACTGTGGACAAAAAATTTTAACTGATTAATAATCAACCAATTAGCAAATGACACGTGCTAATTGAGGCTTGATAGTCTTAATGAACGACACGTGTCAATTATCTTTCTTTCCTTTAATATATAATTATTATTATTATTATTATTGTTGTTGTTGTTGTTGTTGTTGTTGTTGTTGTTGTTGTTGTTTGGTGCATACCTCAGAGTTAATAGAATTGTATGTATACATGAGTAATACATATTATCAATGCGTTGGTTGCTCGTTAAAATTTATGCTTCCTTTCATATGAGTTTATTTATTTTTCCTTCTTCCTAGGGATAAGGCGCCCATGGAGAGCTATTCTTTTATATGGTGCACCTCGAATAGGAAAGTCGTATTTAGCCAAAGTCGTTGCTACTGAAGAAAACTCCACCTTTTATAGGTACAACTATTAGATTCTTGATTTTTTTTTTGTGTTATTTACTTTCTTTCGTTGTAGGTGTGGTTATTCTCTGTTGACTCCTCATTTTACTGCAGTTAAGTGTGTTTGAAACTATGAGTACCTATAAAAGTTAATATATATGTATATATAGTTAATCTGTCTCCAAGATTTTCTGGTTGATACAGTTGATGTATAGACTATGGTAAGGCAAACTCCAGAGGAAGCCAAAGGCATATTCTCAAGCCACATCAGATTTTATCCTAATTGGCAAATTCTACAGAATTCAATTTTTAAGAATTACCATTAAAATTTCCATGTAACCATTAAATCTGTTTTACACAACTCAGGCTTGCTCGATTTAACAAAAAATTTTAATGGCCCTATATATAGTACATTCTACGTCCGCTATTTTGAATGAATAAATATGCCACCTACTAATTAATAGGTAAAAGGATTAAACGGGATAATGAAAATGACAATTTATAACTCATAACTATGAGGTCGAGTTTTGAACACAATCGGGAACAAATAACAAACCAATAGGTCAAGTGAAACAACATCGTAACCAGACACCAACTAGATAGAGTGCATGCATGCGTACTGGTTCACATAATTCGGCATCATAAGTTTCAACATTCAATATGGAGAAACCTTCAGTCAAGTAACGCAAAACAAAGTACATTTTTACTCTTAATTATCTTTAATCTAGTTAAGAATTGATGTATCTTGAATGTCTTTCGCCAAATTGATGCATCTTTAAAAGGTTCAAGATCGAATCGTGTTTGGGTGAATTCTTTATGATTGCAATTGAAATTTCCGGGGGAAAAAGTCTAATCAATCTACACAGAAAATTCAGTGATAAAATCTTTGATGATTGTCATCAACTTCTTAGAAGGTGTAGAATTGGGATCAATGGTGAAAAAGCCATGTTGTTGTCCTTCAAACTCCACATACTCAATTTTCTTTCCCCAAGTCTTGAGCTTATTTGTATAGTCTTCAGCTCTGTCTTTGAGCAAATCACTTCCTCCACATACCACAAGGATGGGATCAAGTTCAAGTTCTTCAAGATTTGGACTTGCGGGTCCAAATGGATTGATTAGTGGATGGTCTGTTGTCTCTCCATCTGGCTTTGATAGCCTCCAAAACCTATATATATATATATATATATATATATAATATTTACAATTCAAAACAAATTGCACATTTGAGTTTTTGAGCAAAATAAGGGGACCGAAAAAGTTCATTTTGGATGTCAATCATCATCTATACAATTAAGTTCAAAATTAAGGAACTAGAAAATGCATATACATTGAAGCTAATTTTGTAGAAGAATTTATGGTATCTTTAGAGAGAAAAATAGTTAGGATGCATCATTAGTATACTATCCAATTTTACAGAAGATATTATGACATCTTCCACAGCCACTTAGTAACTTCAAGTGAATGCTTTTCCTTACAAACGATGCTTTGTATTTGCTCTATATGATGTTTTAACAATTATTTATTCCATTCTAATCCTTTTCATTACGCGGAATAACATTATCAAGTCGATTATAATATGTTTTCAACAATATATATACACCTGTTTCACTTGTTACTTTATGTTTTTTTCCGATTTGACGACTCTTTTGGAGAAAAAGAAAAAAGAAAAAACAAAAATCAAAAACTTCAATTTAATGATAAATTGAAAGGGAAGAAACAGACCGGTCAATGAGCTCCCAATTCAAGAATGCATCTTTGGGGCCTTCAGCTTCAAACTTTGTAAGCACAGTCCCGCCAAAAAAGGGCGCCAAAAGAACATACCCTTTAACTTTAACCGGAGCCAGCTCAGGCGACCCGGCTCCAAGTTTAACGGCCAAATTATGAGCTATATTTCCACCGGCGGAATCACCGGAAATAAACACCGACCCAAAATCAGCAACCACGGTCAGCCATTCATCTGGCTCCTCAGCCACAGCTTGGGATTGAAGCCATTTCACAGCCAAGAACCCGTCATCGATCGCCGCTGGCAGCCGGTTCTCCGGCGCCAGACGGTAATCCGGGGAGATGATCACGGCTTGCAGCTCCTTGGCTAGCTTGAAACAGTAGTTCTGGCAATTGGGCCACGCCCGTGAGCCGATGCAAAATCCTCCACCGTGAATATAGTAAAAGATCGGAAGCTTGGATGACGAAGTTGGACAAGCCGGCTTGTAGAGCCGGAGCTGAAGGTTGTGAACTGGGTCGAAAACGGCGTCTTTCCAGAGAACGGAACCGTCATCTTCCACCGGGATATTAAAACTTGGCTTGTCGGAACGCACAATTGAACCGTCGCTATAGACTCTGAGAACTCCCCGGCATTCATCCACCTCGTACGGCGGTGCAGCAGCAGTGGTGGCCGCCTCCGTTGTCATGTTGTTTAGGTGTTTGATAATTTGCCTCAAAGATATGAATGGTTTGAGCTCTCAGGTAAAAGATATGGGCATTATTGTTGTTTTAGTGGGTTTTTATTAGTCGAATTAGCAGGACAAATACAACAGAAAAGGTTGCAAATTAATGGAATGCCGAATTGGAATTTTTTGTTGGTATGTGGTAGTGTGTTAGGACAGTATAGCAGTCAATGGATTTTAGCTGAGAATGACTTCATGATTCATACCAATGGAAGCAAAACGGTTCAGATTTAGTATGCAGCCAAATGAAACTGGACAAGCTTAAAGACACAGCATGATTTGTCACTTTAACATGGCTGAATCCTTCTAAATCATCCTAATTTCTAATATTCATACCACATGATTAATTCAGGTTTCATATGGTTCTATTTAGAATGCACAAATCAAAGCTAAAACGTAATTCAAATTCATATCTTGTACGCGAGATTAGGAGTGTATGCAGGAAACTTGTCAACGTAACGTACAAACTGATGCAAGTCTGCAACTTTGCAAGACCATTAGGACATCAAGATGACAGTTCTGTCACTATGGAAACTTTTGCTGTGGATCTATAAGTTGTCTTTGGGATCACCTTTGCAAGTAAATATGTATTGAAGTGATGAAATTTTGACTTCTACTCACTCTATTAAGCTATTAGCAATTTTGATTTTCACTATGTGATTACAGTAAAATCTGATTAGCAAGTGGAAGATTAATAAAAAAAATGAGGACATTATGAGAACTGGAACCACATGAGAAAAAAGAATAGATGGTGAAGTTCAACAGTTTACAGACGCCTTGCATATCCAGATCCTCCACATTTCTTGCAGAATATCAAACCTGCAGAACCAAAAAGAACAATTTGAATTGGCAAAAATTGTTAAGTGTATTTGACTTGAACAATTGTCCGCAACATTATCTCAAACGGGAAGATTTTTCAGATCTCTTCACCCGAAGTTATTTGATACAGTAATATAGAATTAGATGATGACTATATCTCATGACAACTGTTTGTTTGGTTTTTTGGATGGTTTTTTCAAATTATTTTTATTATAATTGTCCCATCCCAACATACCTTTTTGTATTTTCTATACACCTTTTTACATTTTCAATACAAAAAATACCTAAAATTACACACTAAAAAAACGAAATAAACATTCTCAGTGACTAGGTGGAACTGAATTCAATAGTTAGCACATTTTAACTCTCGCAATCTTTTGGAGTTCCATGAGTTCTTTACTTGAACGACGGATAGCGAAGATATATCACTGACCTGAGCCTTTGCAAACTTTACAATCAACCAGCCGCGCTTCCACTTTCATCTTGCCATCATCGCAGAACACACACTTGGTGCCACCTATTCCATGATCAAACACACTTAGTTCAATCTTTCACAGCATTGATACAGTTTCATAGGAACAGATAGTAATATTTGAAGCTTTCCTAATGCCATAAATCTAATCCGGAGAAGACTAGAAATGATATGACAAAAAGCATTTCTACCCTAAATCAATCCAAGCAGTGAATCTAGCAGCTCTGCTTTACTTGACAAAACAGCCCACCCTCCTCCCTCCTTTCAGTCCTTTTCTCTATGTTATACTATTACAAAATGGGCAAACCCAAACACGTTATCTTTAGCTATTGCTGTTTTTTGATCTCTTACTGGCTTGTATCAATTATTGGACTATTGATACAATACGTAGGAAGTAATAAGTACCACGGAAAATGTCATTGTGGCTGATCAGGTGTAGCAATTTGTGACAACTAGAAGACACCATCAGAATCAAACATTTTAAATAATGCGATTCAAACGCGACCCACGATGCATTGATTATTTATTTATACACAAAGATTGTTAATCCCATCTTACAAAAATAATCTTGTCTTCCAAGTTAGAGTACTATGCTTGTCCTTGTGACAAACGAGTCCTTCTTCACAAATGCAAAGCATGATAAATGAAGACAGCTTCCTAATGCATATGGTATGGAACTATGGATTCTTTATATGGATTATTGTTAGTTCAGTAAGAAGAAACTATTCCAGAAAAAAAGAAGAGAAGAGATCATTACCATTGCCAGCACACCTGTCACAAGGAACTGGATCCCCCTACAAAATAGCAAAACCACTATTAATCAGACAGAAAACCTTCAAAGACAGAGAACAAAAGTGTTGCTCCAAAAAAACAAATTCATCAATCAAAAGCCATATAGGATAATAAATTCCAAATCCCATACTGAAAAATATTGACTGTTTTTTCATGAATCTAAAAGTTACCTTCAAACCGAGGAAGAGGGAGAGAGCAATGGCAACCAAGACACTAACAGTGGCAAGGAATGATTGGGTGTCCACAGGAGGAGGTGTATCAAATCCAGTGAAAAGCAAAATGGGATGCCTTATTATTGATGTGGGCTGGTGAAATTTTGCACAAAAACAAGTAGAGGAAACAGCAGCTGAGGAAGCAGGAATTGATATTTCAGAGGTTAATGTTGTTAGTATCTGAGTGGGAAGAGAAGAGCAAACAACAAAACTGGGGGAGGATTGAGATGAATTTGGAGGATAAACTGAGGAAGAAGAAGAGGAGGATGATTTGGGATAGGGAAGTGGATTAAACAGGGAAGATTGTGGAAGTGTTTTAATGGCCATTGAAGAAGGGGACATGAATGATCATCTATTGAGCCCCCCCTTCTACAAAACAAGAACAGAGTGGATTGAGTTATTTGTGGAGCTCAAAGCTTTTATTTTGTTTTATTTATTTATTTTTTTTTTGAAAAGGTACTTGTATATTAAGAAAAGATACATATGTTATTACAACGCATTTTATTATATGCTAGATTATGTAATTCTACAACATCTTGTCTACTCACTTTACTCAGTGTACATGACTGAAAAGAAGAAATAATGCTTTTATTTTGTTGGACACTGCTGTTGAACAATTTCAGTTTTCACCCTTTCTATTATTTTAGGCTGTCCATTTTCTCCCCATGTTTTGGGTAATAGCCATATACCTCTCATATATTTCTTTTATCATTTATAGTTTTAAAATACCATGTAATTTGTGTTGTATCTTATTCATTCTTTAGTCAACTTTTTATTGATGCACCTGCTTTTCTTTTCAAGAACAAGATTTGTGTCTTTCATCCACAATTTTTAAGAAAATAAAAAAAATAAAGAAAAGAAAAACAGCTAGTAAATTTTTAAAAACTAGCTAGTTATTTTTGTTGCTCTTATAAAATAAATTAACTAGCCATGTTTAGTTTCTTATAAGTTTTTTGGTAGTGTTACTCTTGTAATAAAATTAAGGATCCATGTAAAGGTTCCAAAGCTTTCACTATCAAATTTAACTAATAATCAAGAGCAAATTAATTCACTTTTCTTAATCTTTCTACAAAAAACAAAAAATATGGAGTACTAATGTAATTTCCTGGAAATAAACAATTTAGGCAGAGAAAAGTACAATTGACTTTTTCAGCCAACTTGCTACAAAAATTTTACAACCAAAAGTTTAATACATTTGAATGTATTTTTCATCCAATTATTCGATCGATGATTTATTGAACAATAAATGCCGACATGTATTGTGATCTAAAATTAATCGCATGAGCGGTGAGTGACCTGTGACAACCCACTCATCGTTTTAGATCTATGTAAGCCAAAGCTCATAACATTAGCAATGTATCCAGCAAAATTGCAAGGAGGATGTATTACTTATACAAAATATTGCATGACATGATTTGATTCTGCAAGTGGTTGGGTTAGAAGAAAGAAATTTCAAAAAAATATATATTTATATTTCGAAACTTGCTAATAAAAAATAAAAAAAGATCAAAATAATATTATTAAGAGCTCAGTCAATCCACCATGCATTAATAGACAGAGCTCTCTCTTTATTACATGCGAAAATGTAACATATGATGAGTCAAGATAAAACTGATTCGTAAAATAATTTGTTCATGAAATTTTTTGAAAATCAAGTTATATTCGTAGTTTCTGTTTTTTTAAAAAAATTTGTCAGCAATAGTGACTCTTTTTGGGCGGGGGTGGGGGGGGGGGAGGGAAAGAACAATAGTGAGTGGAATCACACATCCTTTATGCCCAAAATTAAAATGGATCACAAAAATTTTGGCGGAAAACAGATGGGTCGAAAAGTCATACAGTAGTAAAATAAAGGGACCAATACTGTACTTTTTCCGCTCCTTATAACATTTTCGCATTTTATTCCCTCCACAGCCCAAATCTCGTCTCAGTGTTTGGTTTGTGAAAATCATTCGATTAACTGTATCGATTACAGAATAGCGTCAGCCTTCAGGTTCAAGATTCTCCATTTATGAGAGGTATTATCTAGACCAATACAGCTTTATTGTTTGTTTCATTTGGATATGATTGTCCCGTCGATTTTGTTGTTCGGATGTTGCTTTACTCGAAGATAGTTAGTTTATTGCCAATATTAACGATGTGCACAAAGGAAATTTCTGTGGAAAAAGGATCGATTAATTGATATTGGCCGACATTGAGGTTTAAACCTCAGCCTAGGAATTATGATGAATAACGATTCAGTTCTTGTTGATTGGGTTTGCTGATTTAAAATTTTGACTTTGTCCATGTTAGTTCTCCTTGCGACGTAGTGATAGTCATTTTGTTGAATTCCCTTTTGCTTATAATTGTTTCAGAGAATTGGATGTAAAATCTGAGTGAAATATTAATGGCTATTTCCCAGTTTGGTTGCATGTTTTTGTTGTGGCGATAACGCATTTAATCTGTAAATTGTATGCAAAGTGTTTGATTCTGTTCCGGTGTAAAGCCAATAAGGCAAAAGGAATTGAAAAAAGCATCAATTTTTTAGTTTGGGATGTTTGTTGTGTGCTCGTTTTTGCCAATGACATCTTTCAAGCTCTAGTCTTTTAGAAGTATTAATGGGGCACCATATAGTTGCATAGCTTGTTCTATCATCTCTGCCACTCATTGAACAGCCGAGCTAAAAGAAGTTTTTCTGCATGCTATCAATCTATCTTTGAAATTACTAACCAATTTACTGAATGAATGCACTTAAGTTTAGTTGTTGACTTGATACCTTCTCTTTCTGCAGTGTATCCCCAACTCATGGTTGTGATTAAAAGCAAGTGACATTGCTGCTGCTGCTTTGGGCATCAAGTTGGGTGAATAAGAAGGAATTGTGATGCTGGGGATTTCGTATGGGGAGCTCTTTCTCATAATTGGAGCTACTGCTGTTCTAATTGGTATGCAATTGCTCCCTGCAGTATCTTATTGTACATGTCATATGTAAAGTTGCTTGAAATATGATCACATGTTTTCATTTCATACGAGATAACTCAGCTTTATTTATGATTTACGCAATGTAATTTGTGATCTATTGGGTTTGCACTGTTTTAATTGTTTATAATGCAAGGCCTTTTTTTGTTTTTTTTTTTCTTTTTCTAAATACACTGTATTGTTTTCCCCTCCTAAAAATTCCTATTATTGTTGAATTACTGCTCATAAACTCTTTTGAGAAGCATGTTGTACTCTTGTAGGCCCTAAAGATCTACCAATAATTGCCCGAATAGCTGGTAGATTAGCAGGGCGCGCCATTGGATATGTCCAAGTCGCCCGTGGCCAATTTGACAATGTTATGCAGCAAACTCAAGCTCGGCAGGTCCAAATACAGTCTAATATTCTAAAATTTTGTTGGCATACGTATGCACATGATGTACACACACGAGTAGATTGTTCTGAGCTTAAATACCATAAAATAAAGTGAAACATCATGTTTGTGATTTCATGTGAATGATTTCTGTTGTACCTGAGATGTACTGATAATGTCTTCTAATCGCAGGTGCATAAAGAACTACAAGATACAATTGCACAGTTAGAAGCTATTCGTCATGAGATTCGAACTATATCTTTTATAAATCCTAGCCCTTTGACTCGAAGGTTCGCAGACAGTGTGGAAACACTTCCTAACAATGGTAAACTTCCATCAGAATTTGAAAATTTTATTCTTGAACAAACGATGTATTAATCCAATTGTCTTTTAATGTGATTTCCAGTTGAAATCAAGCCTGATAATTCAGGTAAAGAGAGCATATTAGGAATCCCAAAAGCGAAGGTATCACGTTCCATCAACCTTTTTTTTTTCTTTTTTTTTACTTTTTACGATTAATGGTTATGAAACTTTTTAACAACAGAGCTGGTATAAATGTCTTTTCCAGGATAATGGTTCTCCAACATTAGACCCATCTGACATCCACAGCCAAGCTACTGCTTATGCAAAACTAACTGAATCCGCATCACTCAGTACTTCATCCGCAAATAACGAGATTCTAAGTGAGTTGACTGATGAATCTGGCCTTACAATCCTCCCTGTGTCAGCTGAGAGTGCTGGATTGTTACCACGTCGGAAAGGTAAATGCTATTTCCACCTCTCGTCTTGGCTTTTACTTGGAAGTGTCCACTCTCTACGTCCTGCTTCATGGCCCTAGTGGATATTTTCTTCCATATGGTAATCCATTGATTGAGATGTCTGTGAAGCATTTCTTTTGTATATTCATGTAGCAGACGTGATTTGAGTCTTAGATTGGCGGGTAGCAAATTAGCAATGATTAGTGGTCCTCTTCTTTGGTGCAGACAGATGAATACGAATCACTTCATCAGTTGTTAAGCTGCAAGTACAGATTTTGATGTTTTGAAGATATATTTTAGGACCTTGATTTGCATAAAAACTTTATTTGAATTTTTTTTTTTTTTTTCGGGGAGAAGTTAGGAAACAGATTCTGTTTTTCATAAGAACTAGGGTGCAGCATGCATCTTAACGTTTGCTTGTTGTACTTAATCTCGGAGGATATTAATGGCCACCCTAGCATGATAGTGTAGAGCTAATAGAATTTGGAGGAAGTGGATGGTGAGTCATGCAGATACAACATATCTCAAATACATTTAGGAGGCTGCTATATTTTCATTAATTAGATTTCCTTTAAAGTTTTACTCCCTCTGTCGCAAGATAATTGTCCGATTTTGATTTTCACCTTTAGTATGATTTGTAATGCAAATGAAATTAAAACTGGACAATCATTTTCGGACAGAGGGAGGAATAAACCTGTTACGTTTCGTTGTTATTAGTGAATAGGACATATGTGGAAAGACCTGAAACAACAAATAATGAACTCTGTGCATAGCTGGGTATCTGTAGCCCTTCTTGTGTTTAGTGATGCAACTTTTAAATCTATGAGTGGAAACCTGACTTTCTATTGCATGTGCTGTTTTGAATTGTTGTATATGTATTTGCCTTTTACAAAATGAATGAAAAAAGTTTCCTGCTATCAAGGCTATCACCTGCTGATGGTTCTAACATCAATGTTCTTGACAAATAACTAAAGTGATTATGGTTGTCAGATCATATCGCTGGATCAGACATAGTTTTGGAAGCAATGTTAGAGGCAGAGGTGGCACACAATGCAAGAGACTTCTTTTCACGGCCTGAAAACCTTATGAAACCTGAATAACAAAGCGTTTTATCCTGGTGGGTTCTGAGGTAGTTTAAATTTTTCTGTTTGCTAATTCGTTAATAAAATATGTCAATTGTGAACTGACAAATTATGCATATTGAACCTTGAAACTGCAACGGCATTGTAGGCTTGTAGCGACATTGAGTAAAATGATTTCTCTGATAAATGAAATGTCTGTATTTCCATCCCTAAGTTTGGAACAGTTTTTATCAGTTTCTTCTTTAGTTGGGACTTGGAAGGTATCTTGATTAATTCATCATGTGCCTAATTCAAGTTTCTTTGTTTGGCTGCTTTACAGGGTTGAAGTGCCCCCAGTTTCTTGCAAATTTCGGTGGCACTAGTTAATCCCGCAAGTGTACAAGCTTTACTTTGAGTTGAAGTTATCTGACAAACGGAATCTAGTTTTTCTGTTTCAGTGTTGCTGTTGCTTTTAGGGCTCCTTGTAAATATGTTAAAACCACCAGAAAGAGGTCAGTTTCAAGCTTGATTTATTAGTTTCACAAGCGTTTTATTCTCTAGTTCATTTTGTTGAGCAGGATAACATATCTATCTTTTGGCTAATTAGAGATCGATATTAACACTTAAGCTTGTATCTTTTGCCGATGCTGTTTACACGGAGGTTTACTTCATCTTTCCTTTGTTTATGTTCTCATGGACATTCATTGTGCAATGTTGAACAGTAACTCACATTCATTGCGCGTTTTTTAAAGTTTATTATGCTCAATTTCTGATCATCAAAAATGAGATTTGTATCGGTAACTTCTTCGTCTTCTTTGTTTCCCCTGTTTGAACATAGAAGTGTCGTAGTCTTATAATTTTTTGTGACTGGGCAGCTTGGGAAGCCTAAAATCCCACGTTTGCGGAATTTTTTAGGTGGAATGCCTTAAGTGGTGTAATTTAGAATCGCTAAGAAGTTCTGGTTTTGGTTCTCATTTCACAAAACAATACTGTCCAAAATTATCTTTTTGTCGTACTCTTTCCGGTCCTTGTTATAAGATATTTTGATTTCATCATAAGTTTAACTTAGGATGTCTTTTTAATTAAAAAAATAATTTTAAAAATATATTTTTGTTGTAAATAAATGAATGACCAAAAGTTCAAAAAGTATAACCATAAATTGGGTACATAAATTGTACAGAGAGAAAAATGAGGCCAATTGTCCGCCAAAGTTTTCCTTTATATACTCAAGTTTATGAAGTAAAAAAGATGCACCGGTGAATCATTTTCTTCCTCCTACTTCTTTTGGTCCGAAGAGTAAAAATTATTCTAATTTTATTTTCTTCTTAAATCTTATAATTTCATAATATATAAATTATTAGAAAGTTATTATAGTACAGTGTCTAGCAGAGAAGTTATAATTATCATATCTAATTAAATAATAAGTACTTTTGCTTTGGATCATTGTATTTAGACCATAGTTCTATAACACATTATCAGCACGAGTCTCTGCAATCCACAAAGTTGCGAAATGTCTTTCAATTTGTCAAAGTTCGAATTCGAAGTTCTTAAATACATAAGAACAAACTACCTGTCATGGAAAACAGATTTGGAAAGCCATCTGGAATCAAAAGACTTTTGGAAACTATACGTCCTGATAATACTGAACCTTCACAAAATAAAGCAATTGCGATTATATTTATTCGCAAACATATTGATGATGGTGTGAAATCTGGTTATGTAAATATCACAGATCCTTTTGTTATTTGGAAGGATCTTAGTGTGAGATTTGATAACAGGAAAGAAATGTTGTTAAATATTGCTGATGAAGAATGGAGAGCACTTTGATTTCAAGACTTTAAAAAAGTTGATGAATATAATTCGACAATGTTTAAAATTGTTTCACAGTTGAGATATTGTGGACGCGATGTAACTGATGTTGAAATGATACATAAAACTTTATCCACATTTCATGCTGCTAATACCACTGTTGCAGCTACACACAGATTGCTAAAATATAAGACTTATTGAGATCTATCGTATGCACTTCAATGCGAAGAAAAAGCTCAAGAGCTTCTCATGAAAAATCATCAGTCTAGACCCACAGATTCAATGGCATTTCCAGAAGAAAATGCTATAAATACTCGTGGACACAAATCATACAATAACTGTGGGCGAGGTTGTGGCCGAAGCCGGGGACGTGGTCGTGGTCGTGGCCAAGAAAGAAATTAGAATTCTGTCCATTTTAATGGAAATAATAATCAGAACCAACAACACAAGAAGTCAAAAGTGACCAAGCAAAATGCTCAGTAAAAGCCACAGAAAATGGATAATGCTTGTTACCGTTATGGTAGCACAGATCACTGGTCGCGTGTTTGCCACACGGCATCACATTTGGTTGAGCTCTATCAAGCATCAAAAGGAAAGGGAAAAGAAAAGGAAGTGAATCTTAATGAGCATTATGAAAAAGAAGATGGTGATACATATCTGAATGCTTTTGACTTCGTTGATGATTATGTTGATAATTAAGACATAAGTGATTTTATGTTGTTAAGTTGGTTTTGTTTTGTCAATGAATAAATGTATTTGTAATATATGTTTGAAAACATAAGTGATTGTATGTTTTGTCGATGAATAAATGTATTTGTAATATATGTTTGAAGTTGTATCATTAAATTGGATTGTAATGAATTTTTGTTTGTGGTTACATTTGTTTCTATTATAATAAATATTAATTATTTATTTTTCTATTTTGAAGTTTTTGAAATGGTACCTAATGGAACTCAACCTGACAGTGGCACTACACATACTAACTTGAAAAATAGAAAGTGTTTCACTGAATTTAAACGAACAAAGGCAATTGTGTACACTATATCTGGTCATGCATACTTGATTGAAGGAATTGGCAAAGCCAAAATTACATTGCCTCAAGGAACAAAATTTGTGATTGATGAAGCTTTGTTCTCACCAAATTCCAAAAAAAATTTGTTGAGTTTTGATGATATATATCGAAATGGATTTAATACACAATATATGACAATAGATGGTGTAAAATATTTGAAAATCATTAGATATTAGTCTGGAAAGATTCAAACACTTGAAAAGTTACCGCTCTCTAATGGTTTGCATTATACATACATTGAATCAAACATGACAATGAAATCAAAATCTTTCGATCATTGTTGAGTTTTGATGATATATATCGAAATAGATATGATGCACAATATATGACAATAGATGGTGTAAAATATTTGAAAATCATTAGATATGAGTCTGGAAAGATTCAAACACTTGAAAAATTACCGCTCTCTAAGGGTTTACATTATACATACATTGAATCAAACATGACAATGAAATCAAAATCTTTCAATAATTCAATGTTAAATTTGTGGCATGAAAGACTTGGCCATCCAGGTTCAATAATGATGCGAAGGATAGTTGAAAACACTCATGGACATCCGTTGAAAGGACAAAGAATCCCTCAAAATAATGAATTGTCATGTACAACTTGTTCTCTTGGAAAATTGATATTGAGACCTTCACCCTTTGAAAATCCAAAATGAATCACCTATGTTTCTTGAGAGGATTCAAGGTGATATATGTGGACCAATACATCCACCAAGTGTACATTCAAATATTATATAGTTCTAATAGACGCATCCAGTAGATGGTCTCATGTATGTTTATTCTCAACCCGGAATGTTGCTTTTGTAAGATTTTTAGCTCAAATCATTAAACTACGAGCTCAATTTCCTGATTATATGATAAAAAGGATTAGACTTGATAATACTGGTGAATTTACGTCTCAATCATTTAATGATTATTGTATGTCTACTGGAATCATTGTTGAGCATCCTGTTGCTCATGTACATACACAAAATGGTTTAGCAGAATCATTGATTAAAAGACTGCAACTTATTGCTAGACCATTAATTATGAGAACAAAGCTACCTGTTTCTATTTGGGGTCATGCAATATTACATGCTGCTTCGCTAATTCGCATAAGGCCTAGTGCGGATCATAAATACTCCCCGTTGCAATTGGCACTGGGTTATGAGCTAAATATTTCACATCTTAAAGTTTTTGGCTGTGCAGTATATGTGCCCCATAACATTCGACCCCTTTGGTTAGAATTTGGTTATTGAAAACTTATTGTCATCTTCCTTTGGAGTATGTTATGATTTCGTTGTTGTAAATATTTTGGACTTATTTTTATTTTTAATTTCATTTCATTTAAAAATGAATGAAAAGACATGGAAAGAATATATAAAATATTTCATATTTGCATAACCAAATGTAAAATAACATATCACCCGAGAGTAACAAATGACCGTTTGGGTCTTCTCGGGGGATCCGGTGGGACCAAAGTATGCCATAGTTACATTCTGGGTTCAAGAGGTAGTTCCCAACCAATAACACTACTATCAAGGTCGTGATGCCAAATGGGGTGAATAGGTGGAATTGAAAAATTACCCTGCAGATTGAGTCGAATGAAGTGCTGGTAGGGCTCAAGATGGCAAATAACAATCTGGAACTCTGGTCTTGTTGTCACGCCCCGTGCGATGAGTGGTAGCACAGTCCAATATGAGCCGTTTAGATTTATAACGCCATTTGTCCTGAAGTAGTACACAACAACATTGAAATATGTAGCAATGGGATAAAAGTCCTCTGTCGATATCCAGTGACCCTCGCTTATACCAGTCCACCGTATACGCTCTAGGTTTTCAGGTAATTTATCCCATCTACAAAGACAAGTAAAGGAAAGTTTTAAATAAAATCACATTGATGCAAATGTATTAAATAGGACCTCAAAGTAAAACTTGTCATACTCGTAAAGGTTCCCGTAAAGCCCAGAATTATTTATAACCTCATCAAACACTATTTGTCTGCACAAAACATGATTATTATGCCCTCCCAACATGCAACTCGCAATGACACGAAAACCACAATTGCCGTCAGGCTGGACATCAAGATATGACTGAACATGGTTCTGGAGTATTTGTGGAATATTATTCTTATGCCTAAACTTGGAAAAGTCTGTCTCCATCACATCTGTTACCAAGTAAATTAATTTCATTATTTCTGGATTAAATATAAAAATTTAATAAAATAATGAGATTTAGCACTTTTAAAAATATAAATATAAATCGCACCCGACATGAGCTTCAGATCCCGACGTATGGCCTCTACTGGAACTGCTGGTGTTCGTCCCACCTAGCCCAGTCCATGCACCTATGCTCGCACGCCATGAAACAAAAATATAAGAATTAAATAATAATAATATTTTGCACATTAAAAAAAATAAATTAATATCGGACCTCTGATAGGATCATCAGCTCCCGACATATGGCCTCTACTGGAACTGTTGGTGTTCGTCCCACCTTGACCCGAGGTACCTTTGTTGGTACCTGCTTTACTGGAATCACTGGTATTCGTCCCACCCTGATTGTCGTCCCTGTATTCCCACACATTTGGTTTGTCTTGCTTTTTTTTTGAGATGCCTCCTTTCTTCGGCCTGCCCTTGCCTCTCTTTCCTACCCGCGGTTGTTTCAATCTGGCTTGGCCCGGGTGAAGTTTGTTGTACATCAATCTAGTGATCTCGCTATGTATTGACTCCTCATCAGTGTCTAATTCTTCCACTAACTGCCTGAACAACAATCTGTGAAGGGGGGGCATCATCCGAACTATCCTTCTCTGCAACCTGACTGATGCCGAGTGTGCTCCAAAATTGGTGTAAGTATTTTGGAGTCAAAATCTCGTTGTCCTCCATTACCCGCTTCAGAATACATGCACAAGAGATCAAATGAGTTCGTTTCAGGTAGTGATTGCTTTCCCAAAACACATCATATGCAAGTTGATGTGCCCTTTCCAACTGATTGTTCAACAGATCCAA